ACTGCCAATGGATCACTCAGTGGCCATCACAGGTGGTGCTTACGGTGGCACAGATTGTATGGACTACTGATGTCACCTCCATCCTAGCCAAGAGAGGAGGACTCAAAGTAGGTCCCCAAGGCTCTACCATCATAGCATTACTTCATATCTTACTTGACTTGTATTGCTGTTATTATTATCTTCTTCATTAATTTGTTTGTTTTAATTTTTCATTATATGACAGAATTTAATATATGTTTAGCGGTTAGTTAAGGGACTCAAAGATGCAGGACAGATGTCTTATTTTACTCTCTCTCTCTCTCTCTCACACGTGGAGGCTCCAAAAACAGTATTGTGCCACTTTTGAACCTCTGAAATCACCCCTAGATAATTATTTTAGAGAATTATGCTTAACAGGAGAAAATACACTATTAAGAAAGGTCTATCATGTATGCTTATCAATGATTAACTGATCATCACCATTATCTAATATTTAATCATCACACTCACTTATTATACAGTACACAATTGTCAAGGATTTATCATACACCATTATCATTAATCTATATACAGTGCACAGTTGTCAAGGTTTAAATGTTATAAGCTGTTAATAAAAAAAATTTGCACGGCTTCAGGAGTACTTAGAAGTGTGTGACGCTCGCATTCAGGAGGTAGTGGGCATGGTGCGAGGAAAGCTGGAACACGGTACCCGACTTACCCTGGGAGCCCTCATTGTTACATACGTCCATGGTCTGTCATTTCTCTCGCATACTCCTTTTTATCATAAGATTTTGATAAATGAGTTACTGATTATTCTACTGTACATAAATATGGATTGTGTCACACATAGACACAATTAACTCCGAGGTATGAAGTGTACTTTCATACCTTAGAGTGTGTCTACGAGCTTCAGATCACCTGACCTAATTCAACTTCACATAATCTAACGTAACAACTCCAGACAGTGTTAGGGTATTTAGTCATCATTTGAAAAAAGCTGGGGTGCCAAATCATCAAGTGATCCCAACCTTCCTCAATCCCAGGACGTGATGTGGTGCAAGAGTTGATCCAGAAGGGTGCTGCCTCAGTAACGGACTTTACATGGGTGTCACAGATGCGCTACTACTGGGTGAACGAGCTGGTACAGGTGGACATGATCATGACACGACTCCAGTACGGATATGAGTACCTGGGTAACACCTCCAGGCTAGTCATCACACCTCTCACCGACCGCTGCTTCAGGTATCCACTATCACTGTTCCCAGCCCACCCTCATCCTGACTGTGTCATCTTCCTCGCATGCTTCACATTGTTCGTCAAGCCTCTTATTATTTTCTTGTCATGAGTCATCTTCATCAGTCTTTTTGTTATCTTTCCATCATGCTTCATATTATTCATCACTCCTCCTGTTATCTTTCTATCATGCTTCACATAGTTCAGTCCTCATGTTATCTTCCTCACGTGTTTCACTTTGTCCATCTGACTGCGATATATTATATACTGTATATACTTTTTATATTACTGCTCGATGGTCTTGGAGTAAAACCTTGTCCAAGAAATGAGGCTGAATATTATTTCGCGCCATTACCAACCTTCCTGCTGCACCAGGACACTCATGGGGGCACTAAAGCTGCACCTGGGAGGGGCCCCTGAAGGTCCTGCTGGCACTGGCAAGACAGAAACATGCAAGGACTTGGCTAAGGCTGTGGCCAAGCAGTGTATCATCTTCAACTGCTCTGATGGTCTTGACTATAAGGCCATGGGCAAATTCTTTAAGGTAATACACACACACACACACATATGTATATTTATATATATATATATATATATACACACAGTCGGCCCTTAACATACGCGGGGGTTACGTAATAGAGATAGCCGTGGATGTTAAAATCACAAGATATGCTGCCTCCCCCCCAAAAAACCCTGCCCCATGTCCTTATTTACCGTATATACCTGTGTGTAGTTCGAGTTTTTAAGACCAAATTATTTGGCAAAAAATTGGGGGTCGACCTCTAAAAGGGTAATAGTTTCGTTAGGTTGAAAAATATTTACCAGTAAACAATGGAAACGATGCACCAACGCACCACCAGCTGTGAGTGTCGTTACAGTTGCCAGGGCAGATCTCTTGCGTCATCATAGCAAGCCCAAAGTAGCCAAATCCATGGTATGGTAGCACAGGACGATGTAAAACATAAAGTATTCATTTATTAAAGTGTATTTATAGATACTGTACATAAATTTTTGTTCATTACATTTGAAACATCAATCTTTGTTAATTAAATTTGAAACAAAAGAAAACTACGATACCGTATTTTCATTAAAACATTACATCACAAGTATATTTTACCTTAACTGTGACTAAAGGAATATATTCTCGGAAGTGAATATGGAAATGTAATATTTTTGCTGGAATGACGTACATATTACAGTGGAAAGTGGGATAAAATTGTGACGAAAGCAATGACTTTCGCTTTCTTTCGTTCAAAAGATGTTACCGTAATCGCTTTTCGAATGGTTTTCAGTTAAAAAAACTGTTGCATCACAAGTGAATTAGGATAGAATATTATTGTAATACAACAGTTTTTTAACTGAAAATCATTCGAAAAGCGATTACGGTAACATCTTTTGAACGAAAGAAAGCGAGTCATTGCTTTCGTCACTTTCCACTGTAATACGTACGTCATTTCAGCAAAATATTACATTAACATATTCTCAGAAATAAATAGCAGTTTTGCTGAAACGTAATGCATTTCAATGTAAATTAGGATAAACTACATGAAAACAAAAGACTTTACATAACCTTCCGATGTTCAAGATATGTTACTCGTTTTTTTAGTAGTTTTCGGTTAAAATACTCTTATATTAGTGATATTCTATTCATACTGTGCTTGATATAATACATTCACGGAAATGTAATATTTTTGCAACTACAATGCTGATGTCAACACAAGTGTGGTTACAGCGAGACTGACTGAGTGAGGGAGAGCTATACGTGTGTGTGTGTGGTTGCGGGAGCGGGCGGTGTCCCGTGTTCGGTGCCACGCGCGAGTTGAATGGCGCGCGATTTGAATGTACTTCAATTACTTCAATGTACAGAATATTCCTCCAGCGGGGCAATCCGTGTATTATAAACCCGCGTATGTTAAGGGCCGACTATATATATATATATATATACAGTATATATATATATATATATATATATATATATATATATATATATATATATATATATATATATATATATATATATATATATATATATAATATATATATATATATATATATATATATATATATATATATATATATATATATATATATATATATATATATATATATATATATATATATATATATATATATATATATATATATATATATATATATATATATATATATATATATATATATATATATATATATATATATATATATATATATATATATATATATATATATATATATATATGTTGTTAAAATTTCACTTAATTGAACCTAGAGGGTCCTGCTATGAAACTGCTATGAACAACAGAATATATGAGATTAATTCTAATAGAACCCAGTCTGGACTTCAAACTCCAATTTTTGACTACAAATAACTATGTTGTAGTAAAATAACATCTTTTAATTTTATGATGGTACATGCACACAATTAATACTTAAGAGAAATAGAGAAATACAGTCGCCAAGTTAATGTCCATTAAAATAATGGACTCAACTCCCTCCCCCTCTTCTCACACTACACTCACTGGCTCTTCCCTCTGAGAAATTTTTGGGGGAAAACCAGGTATAGTAATAAATAATTCCTCAAACTAAAGTTAGGATAATATAATTGACATTGCTGGATTCCTTGTAAGACCAGGAATATTTTGAATACAAATGTCATATATTTTTCACAAAAGATAACATATTTACTCAGAATAAACTTTACATCTAAAATTTATATGTCTAATGCAAAATCTATGATGTTTATATTCAAAATGATCACCAAATTGTAAGA